TTCGATAGTCACTTCCAGATTGTCTAGGGATAGGGCTATCTTCCTCAAATGTATGTAATGTAAATCTTGCTTTCAATTTCTTTTTGACATGATTCTTTCTTACCAATGAATCTTGTTTTCAGTTTTCTAATGGGTGAAAGAATCATCTTATGTGCTTCATTAAACTCTTCTTTAGAGGTGAAAATAATGCTTTTAGCCCACTTTGCCTTGTTCTCCTCATGGAAATGAGTTTGCACTAAACCACACAGATGTGTCCTGGCTAGTCAATATTTGGAATAGGGTCATAGGGCAAAATGTCTTCTCTGTGTAATATTTAAAGTGAAGAATTCTGACCTCGGCCTTCTAAGGCCTCTGCCTGTACACGCAAGGGCAAATGTGCTCTTGAGCTTGCACGACCGTTTCTACATACCACTGAATTTCAGTGAACCTCTAGGGAGAAGACTGCACTCAACTCCGTTCCATCATCAACGTAACAAAATTACACAAAACACACTGAAAATTCAAGGCAGCCCAAAGAAAAAGCCAGTGTTAGTCACAGTTTTCATTAAATAAGTCTCATTCCTGTTTAAAAAAAAAAAAAGTTTAACTAATGAAAATGTATATTTTAAAATGCTGATTTCATGAGATTAGCCAGCCTGTACCCCATAGGAATTAAATCCAACTATCTCAAAGTGGCACCTGAAATAGTAGCAAACTTTTTTTTAACCATGGAAGTGTATCATAAGGATGGCCTCTACCTACACAAAACTAATGGCATATGCATTCATGAACTGTGCCCAAGGGGTGAAAAGCAAAAAAAAAAAGGACTATTATTATGTCCATAATGTTATTATGTTACTACAATACCTGATAAAAATGACGATGACAGTAACATTTATGCCAAGAGCTTTACATACGCTATCTTCTTCAATCTTCGTAACACCCAAGCTTGTGAGCTAAGTACTATTGTTATCCCATTTTACAGATGAGGAAACCCAAGCACAGAGAAGTTAAATAACTTCTCACAACCTAAGAATACCCGACTATTAAGCAGCAGGAGATTCAAACTCAGGTTGCTTTATCCAAAGCAGGAACTCCTACAATAAACCAGTAACAGGCGACTGATACATATTTGTTGAAACCTAGTTTAAAAGTATTTGACCAAAGGCTTGTATATTCATGCATACTTTAAAATGCATACAGGCCAAGCATTTGGGTTACAGATTCATGCCTGTTATCCCAGCACTTTGGGAGGCTGAAGCAGGAGGATCACTTGATTCCAGAAGTTCAAGACCAGCCTGGGCAATGTAATGAGACCCCATCTCTACAAGAAAAAGTTTTTTAAATCAACTGGGGGTGGTGGTGTAAGCCTGTCGCCCCAGCTACTTAGGAAGCTGAGGCGGGAGGATCTCTTGAGCCTGAGACTTTGAGGTTTGACAGTATCACTGCACTCCAGCCTAGGTGACAGAGTAAGACCCTGCCCCAATATTTTAAAAAAGAAAAAAAAAATGCATACAAAATCTATCTACTCTTTGTTCCCCATCATCCAACTAGTGAAGGTATAATTAGGCACAGGCAACAGACTACCAGCAATTTGAGAGCAGAAAACATTCTTTTTCAAAAATATCTTTAATACTTTATAGTTTTCTACCAAAAAAAAAAAAAAAAAAAGAGCCAGAGAACCTCAGGCTAAGTAAGGCTCCTCCAAAAAAAGGAAATCAAAGCAGGTAGGACAAAGACAGCTAGGGTGAGCTACTAACCAAAGTATGTCACAGCTGAACATTCTCTCCTGGTAACTGTCCTGCAGTGCCGCTCTAAGCACTGCAGTGCCGCCAGTATGAAGTCTGAGCTCATGAACGCCGTGCTGCAAAAGTAACCAACAACCAAACAGGAAAAGCTTCACTTTTCTCTACTGATTTTATTCATCCCAGGATCCCGCTCTACAAGGTTTGAGAGTTAACAGCATTTGGGAAAGGGCCAGCTTAACCACAGTACTGAATGGAGTGCAGTATCCTACTCAATAAATGAGGTTTACTTTAGTCTCTTAGTCCTTGGAATGGGTCACATGTGTTTAAAAAAAAAACAGGGGTGGATCATAATTATTTCTGATGTTCAGAAAATACCTATTACCTAACCTCCTTCAGCCAACACAAGTATCATCTGAATTAACTCTGTCTGGCTGTTATATATGGTTATAAGAACACCCAGATCATTTCCTACAAGGGGGGAAAAAAATCACACACCTCTAAAAGACAAAACAACAAACGATACATTCTGGAAATAGATGGGGAAAAAAATAACTCTCTGTTTCCAGATGACCCCTCTGCAGAAGTAAGATAAAGGCTGCAGTGCATGGGGAGAAAAAAACCAACCTGGGTTAACTGAAGCAGCAGCTTCAGCAACTTCTAATATCTATTACCTTCCCCACCATTATATAACCAAACCCTAACCTTAACAGACCATCATACTGTATGTCAACAGCTGTTAGGCACATCTAAGCTGTCAGCATTTGAGAACCCCTTCCAAAGTGGATACAGATGAGCGTGGAGCAGGCCAAGATATGCTCAGGGTTCACCCAGAGCACATGACAACTCCTTGTGAATTAAGCTTCACTCACGTAGTCCGAGCAATTTAAGCAGCAAAAGATACAGCACTCGTAACTGTAACTAGGAAATTGCACACCGCTACAGAAACACAAATGAATGCTGGTGTGGTTCCCTCACACATGCAACTCATTGTCCAAGCCATTTCAGTCTCATTCAAGACTGAATATTTCCATACATAGGAATTGCATAACTGCACACCACAAATGATCAAAGATAAAAACCAACACAAACAGTGACACCCGTTTGTAAACACGCCAATGGTTAAAATGTTACAGTCCTAAAGGATACCAAGGTCTCAGAGAAAAACTATGAAAAACACACGCACACACACACATGAAAATGAGAAAGCGGCCAGACCAGCCATAATTAGGCACCGGCTTTGCTGACTACTGAAGACAGAAATGTCTCTTTTAGATTAAAGCCAACAATCAACTGTTTGCAATTACATTTACAAAAACATTCAACCCTGTCTGTAACAGATTTTATCAATATTTTGGTGTATCCAAGGGCTGGAAGATTCAAAATTCTTTAAATCATGAAACCATAAACCAGGCAACCAATTAAGTGTATAGAGACTATCCCCCAGAGGTCAGAGCAAAATAACCACAGGAGCACAAAGTGATTACACAGAAAATAAGGAGAAAAAAAAAAAAAAAGAAACAGCACAACAAGGAACAAGGCATATTGTTTGTAAATAGAAGTTTGCCTTGGCTGATAGTAAACTAGACTGGAAACACAGTGAGGGGCCGGGTGGCAAGGGAGGAAGCACACCACAGTCTTGGCTCAGTCGACTTCCCCCAACTTCCCCTCAGGGTCTGAGGGAGCCCTGGACTTTGGTATCTCATCCAGCTCTGACCTGCAGACTTGAGGCCCTGTGATAAAAACGGGCAGAAAAGGCTGAAGAGGGCCCTCCAGGGGAAGTGAAACTGACCAATCAATTCGCCACAGCCACCCACCCTGACACCCTAGTAAGAAGGGCCCCTTGTAGCCTTTGGCAGAAAGACGGTGGGGAAGGAACTTCAGGTTGCGAGTGATCAGGAGAGAAGGCCTAGATAAGTCACTGGCCTCGGAAAACAAGCCACTGCCATAGAAGCAAAAACAAGGTAGGTCATGATAACCAGAGGCTAGGCTGAGGAGGTGAAGGGGACTGATGCGGCTTTGGCGGGAGGCGGCAGCAACTGCAAGGGTTCTTCATTCCTCAGGTTGAGGGAAAACACAAGCTGCAGTTTCAAACATAATGAATGGCTACATTAAAAGTATTCATTCAGGGAAGATATTGAGCAAAGAAAATTCTGGAGGAAAAATGGGCTTTGCGGGTTCCACCAAAACCAGAAGATTCCTCCTGATGCCCTAGATTCCAATCCTCCCAACGAAGGCTACATGAAGGTGCTACCATATTTCCTCAAAGAAGGTATTGAACATGCATACATGGAGAGCTTCCTAATTGACCTTGGCCAATCTCACTCCTATGGCGCCTCAAATCCCTTTAAGAACCTAAGGGCTCCATGCGTGTAATCTCCCGGTGTCTGCGTTCTTCAATCACAAGCCTCCCGCCTCGACCAGTGAAAGCCCACCCTGGGTTCTACAAAGCCCACCATTCCCGACCCTCCAACAACTAAAAATAACCGGCAATCATCTCTCCCAAACTGTTTAACCCCTGATTACCTAGTGCCATTATAAACCTGGGACACCCCCCCACCCCCACTTCAACTCCTCCATTCCCTGGGCCCCTTCCTGTGGACAAGCAAAGCAATTTCCCCCTATTTCCCCATTTTCCTCACTACCTCCTCCACTAATCGTGTCTCTCCTCGGGCTCCCCTTCGCACCATCTATCAGTCTTAGACGATCAAATGCGGATTCCTATCTTTGCCTTAAGGCACCAAGATCCTGAGACCTCGCAGCGCCCTGCAGCTGTGCACATCCCCAGTTCGTGCCGCAGCCGTCCTGGGTCCCCTCACAAGCCCGGGTCTGCCACTTCACCCTGGTCTTCTCCCATCCTCCTGGTCCAGATTGCATACGCCCCCGTCCTCATTCCCTTATGACTTCCTAGCTGCTGGTTCCCGAGACTTACCGGCTTACAGTCTCCCGGCCCCCGGGGAGTTCCGACCCCTTCTTTCCAATCACCCCCTTTACTCCTCTGCCCTCAGCCCCGAGGACCCTCCCCGCGCCCGGCTCCCGGGCTCCCAGGGCCGGTGCTCTGTGGCCCCGGGCCCCTGCGTGAAGTTCCGCCGTCTCGGGTCCCAGGTGTCGGTCCCTAGCTCCGCGCCCGCCCCGCCGCGGCCGGCCCCCTCCCGCCTCCCCGGCCCCCAACGCTCCCACCACGCGTCGCGCTCGCTGTCCCGACCCCCCGGCTGGGGGCGCGGACCTCTCCCGGCCCCGCCACGCTGCGACGGCCGCCCGGCCCCGCGCCGGTACCTTGGCCTTGGTGACGAGGTGCGTGGCCCGCTTGACCACCGCGAAGTTGCCCTTGCCGATGGTGCGGTCGATCTCGTAGTATCCGATGCGGGCGGGCATGGGTCCGCGGGAGGCCGGGGCTGGGGGACGCGGCGGGCCGGCCGCGGGGGACACGGCAGCGGGGGCGGCCGGGGGCCCCGGAGCGGGCGGAGGCAGCAGGCGGCCCGCGGGCCCGGCTCCCCCCGTCCCGGCCCCGGCAGCCCCGCCAGCTCCGCTCGCCGCCGCCGCCGCCATCTTGTTGTGCAGTGAAACCTCCGGGGCCGCGGGGAGCCGGCTCGGGGGAGGGGGCAAGGGGGGGCGGGAAAGGGGGGGCCGCGGACGTCACTCGGGAAGGCGGGGCGCCCTCGCCGACCGGCGCCCGCCGCCATGGCAACCGCGGGTCACGTGCCGACGCGCGTCACTGCCCGGAGCCATGGCAACCGTGACCTCACCGGCGGGCTCGACCTTCCCGCGTGGGCCCCGGTTCCTGAGGCGCTGGCTCCCGAGTGCCCCCCTCCGGGAGCCGGCGGTGGGAACCTCCGGTGGGCGCCCAACCTCGAAGCCTCCACCGCCTTTCCCGGGTCGGGGGCGCAGGATGCCCGACCCACAGCCAGCCCCCCACGGCCGCTGGAATCGCCAATGTGACCTCTGCTGTGACCTCTGTCCCAGTTCAACGATCACCCAACCTCCCTTAACAAAAAAAGTGTTTCCTCATCACCAAAAATACCAACGTTGTCCCACTTTAGCCCTTGAGGCCACAAAGGCAGGAATAGCTACACTTTTTAAGCAACTGTAACCAAGTTGGTAACAACGCGAGGGAATTCTTCAGTAAAATTCCTTCCTCTTATAAAATCCAGCTCACCCTGTGCAATCAACCTAATTGTCACCGAATATAGGAGAATGGGGAAAGGATTTGCGTGTTCAAGGGCGGAGAAGCCAGTCCAAACAGGCATTCCAGTCATTGGGTGGGTGACAGCCAGAGAAGGTACGTCATTTTCCTTCCTACCACCCCCGTCTCTGAACAGTTCTGTAGGGATGTCTGTCAGAGTGCCTACATACGATTTCTGTGGCTTGTATAAGCCTGATGAAGCAGTGGTGCACATTGTCCAATGAACCACGTCATGTTTAAGGATAGTCGGTTAAGCGAAATAAGTAAGTGAATAATAGTAATTCCATCCTTCCTAGTGACTCTCCAAAAAATTAAGGGTCATCAAGTTAATAACTCCAGCAATTTCATATCCCTTTTTCTTCCCTTCTCTATTACCTGGCATCCTTCATAACTCCCAGACTTCCTCCTCTTCTCTCCCCTTCCCTTTATTTTTTTTAAGCCGGGGTTTCCCCATGTTGATCAGGCTGGTCTTGAACTCCCGACCTCAGGTGATCCACCCACCTTGGCCTCCAAAGTGCGTGGATTACAGGCGTGAGCCGCCACGCCCGGCCCTCCCCTTCCCATTATTAAAGAGATTAACTTAGCTGCTTTAGGTGAGGGTAGGAGGTAGGAAATCAGACTGTCAACACAATAGTCTTTGGCAGGTTGGGTCGAAAGAAGGGAAGACTGTGAATATTCCAGTGTTAAAATGTATTCCTCGGACTAGTCCTGATTCATCCATATCTATGTCTCTCTCAATGGTAGTACTGTATTGTCAGGTCACTACATGCACAGATTAAAAACTGACACCTGGGGCACTGTAAGTGTGTGAGAAGGAGAACTCAGGTTTACTCTCTGACCAAAGAACATTTCCTGGTGCTTCGATTCCCTATCCAACCATGAGTAATGGCTGGGACTTAAGATGGGACAGAGGGGTCATCCCACAAGGGTCTTGGATCAATTCCCTGGTAGCTGTTCCAAATTGCCAACACAATCAACACTAATTGGCTCCCTTATTAGCAAGGAAGGATAAGAATGAAGTGGGCCTTGGCTTCTTGCATTGGTTAAGCCCTTACATCTGTTGAGCTCATTCCATCCCAGATAAATGATGGGGTGTGACCTGCCTCGCCTATCACTTCATGGCCCTCACCTGCCTCTAGCAGGGACTGTATCTTTGGTGCTGAGCTGCACAGCTCCAGGGTTTTTTTGGTTTTTGCTCAGTTGCCCAGGCTGGAGTACAGTGGCGCAACCTAGGCTCACCACAACATCCACCTCCCAGGTTCAAGCAATTCTCCTGCCTCAGCCTCTGGAGTAGCTGGGACCACAGGAACCAGCCACCCCACCTAGCTAATTTTTGTACTTTTATAGAGACAGGGTTTCACTATGTTGGCCAGGCTGGTTTTGAACTCCTGACCTCGTGATCTGCCCGCCTTAACCTCCCAAAGTGCTGGGATTACAGGTGTGAGCCACCACGCCCGGCTACAGCTGCAGTTTCACCATCTCCCTGGGTGTCTCAACAGAAACCATAGCTGGCTGGTAAACCAAAGAAAAAAATATTTCACTGTGGAAGCTGCAGGAGCGGCACTGAAACCATTTCTCCCTGGTGACTGTATGCTCACAGAGTGTCCTCCACTAATGGAGATAATTCAAACATCCAATATCACAACTTTTCCTGCTCTCTCAAGAGTTTCAAAAAGAAAAACAAAGCTGGGGAGAACCTAGAAAATGGAGCATTGTTCTGATTTTCAAAGACAAGAAGCAGATGACTCATCTCTCCAAAATGACCAGAACATATGCTGTGTGCTGTGTGTTGTGTCATTTATGCTCCTTTCCTGTATAGATTGAGGTCAGCCGGGCACAGTGGCGCGTGCCTATAGTCCCAGCTACTTGGGAGGCTGAGGCTAGAGGATCCCTTGAGCCCAGGAGTTCTGGGCTGTAGTGCGCTATACCGACTGGGTGTCCGCACTAAGTTTGGCATCAATATGGTGACCTCCGGGAGCGGGGGACCACCAGGTTGCCTAAGGAGGGGTGAACCGGCCCAGGTCAGAAACGGAGCAGGTCAAAACTCCCGTGATGATCAGTAGTGGGATCGTGCCTGTGAATAGCCACTGCACTCCAGCCTGGGCAACATAGCAAGATCCCATCTCTTTTATAAAAATTAAAATTAAAATTAAAAAAATAAATTGAGGTCATTAGATGGTGTTTCTGATTGAGACTTCAGTAGATTTGCTGGAGATCTCCTTGAAGAGTAGCCTTCTTTGGCATGAAGAATACAGAATATTAGAGAAGAAAGTTATTGAAGGAGATCATCAGGCAAAAAGGAAAATAGTTTAGATCTTTACGTTTAATAAGGATGTATTGAGTACCAAGAATTGAGTTCGGTTCTGAGAGAAACTCAGAGTAAATAACAATAACAATTTGCCAGGCATTATGCTAAACAGTGTACCTAAGTGAACTCACTTAATCCTCACAACAACCTAATAAGATGGTTTGTATCATCTCCCCATTTTCCAGATAAGAAAAATGAGGCATGTAGGGATTAAGGAAATTAGCGAAAGTCATAGAGCTAGAAAGTGATAGAACTAGGATTCAAACCTAGGATCTTCCCCATTGTACCATAATCCCTATCAAGGTAGGAGCCAGTAGAAAAAGTGGTCTCTCCATTATGTCCAGGGTGACAGAGGTCAATTTAGACCCAAGGAAGAAGAGTGTTTTGAGAGGTCTTGAAAACAGGACAGAGCAGGCAGCAGAACCATAGGAATAAAGACAAGACAGTAAGACTGAAAGAAGTACCTGTGATAGCTTCTCTTATAAACAGCACCAAGAAGAGAATCATGGCTTATTGTGCAGAAGTATTGCTGGCTCTTAAGAATACAGGCCTGGCCGGGCATGGTGGCTCATGCCTGTAATCCCAGTACTTTGAGAGGCCAAGGCGGGCAGCTACCAAGGTCAGGAGTTTAAGACCAGCCTGGCCAATATGTGAACGCCTCCTAGAATCAAGCAATTCTCTTGCCTCAACCTCCCGAGTAGCTGGGATTACTGGCATGCGCTACCACAACTGGCTAATTTTTGTATTTTTAGTAGAGACAGGGTTTCTCCATGTTGGTCAGGCTGGTCTTGAACTCCTGACCTCGTGATCCACCCACCTCAGCCTCCCCAAGTGCTGGGATTACAAGCGTGAGCCACCACACCTGGCAAAAAAAAGCTGAATTTATACATGCATTGTTAATACAGATGCATTATTCAGAACATCTGTATGCCAAAAGACAACACCATAGTAAATTTACATGCCACAAATTCCCCAAATGAGGAAATTACTAGCTGATACCACATAGGAATCAAGGCACCATTGGACAGGCATTAAACACTCCAAATGCCCTGATTCTCTGGGTGAGTTGAATGCACACCTTCTCTCTGTTAAGATTGTGTTCTGGCTGGGCACGGTGGCTCACACCTATAATCCTAGCACTTTGGGACACTGAAGGGAGTGGATCATTTGAGGTCAGGAGTTCAAGACCAGCCTGGCTAACATGGTAAAACCCTGCCTCTATAAAAATACAAAAATTTGCTGGGTGTGGTGGCAGGTGCCTGTAGTCCCAGCTACTCAGGAGGCTGAGGCAGAAGAATGGCTTGAACCTGGGAGGCAGAGGTTGCAGTGAGCTGAGATCACACCACTGCACTTCAGCCTGGGTGACTGAGTGAGACTCTGTCTCAAAAAATAATAATTTTTGAAAAGACTGTGTTCTGCATCATCATCTCAGCTATGTGGCTTTTGCCTTTCTTCCTCCTCTATCCCAGACCCACCTGGTCACATCTCAATTTCCCCTGGGCATCCGAAGCAGGTCTGAGCAGTCAAGGATAACTACTTAGTCTCCTGCTAGAAAATATCTTGGGGGCCAGGAGTGGTGGCTCATGCCTGTAATCCCAGCACTTTGGAAAGTGAATCACGAAGTCAGGAGTTCAAGACCAGCCTGGCCAACTTGGTAAAACCCTATCTCTACTAAAAATACAAAAAAATTAGCCAGGTGTGGTGGTGGGCACCTGTAATCCCAGCTACTCGGGAGGCTGAGGCAGAGAACTGCTTGAACCCAGGAGGCAGAGGTTACAGTGAGCCAAGATTGTGCCACTGTACTCCAGCCTGGGGAACAGTGAGACTCCATCTCAAAAAAAAAAAAAAAAAAAGAAAAGAAGGAAAGAAAATATTTTGGGGAGGGGGTGTAAGAGACGCTAACTAAGCTTTCAGCCAATGACTTTCTGTTCAGTCTGTTCACATTTTCTAATATAGCCATTCAAGCTGAGACACAAAACATAAAAATTGCCCTTATTACTTTGCATATGTTCTAGGATATGGTTGAAACATTTTTAGATTATTATTAATTACTCTTTGAATAATCCAGAACATCTTCGGGCTGGAGTGCAGTGGCACT